CTAACTCATGCATGCACACACACACTGCTCTCAAGACATATTTTTAAAAGGCCTCCTCTATAAAAGATTTCCCCCTAGGCTTTAGTTTTCATTCAAAGTTTCAATCAACCTGGAATTTATTTATTTTTTATCCTTGGTTTTTGAGACAGGGTCTCACTGTGTAGCCCAGGCTGGCCTTGAATTCAGTGACCCTCTTGCATCAGCCTCCCAAGTATTCCACCATGCCCACCTACATGGCATTTATTTTTAAATGACACATAATTATACATGTTTCGGATATGTTGGAATATTTTGATACATGTATATAATGTACAATTATTAAATCAGGACAATTATTATATTAGCAGCCTCAAAAAGTGTATTTTAATATAAAGAGACAGGTAAGGATCCAACAGTCTGCATTCATAAACACTCACACATACTGTGTTTAGGTTTGTTTCTGTATTCTATGCTGAAATTTCAGTTTCAATAACAGTTTTAGTTATGTAGTTTCACAGTACATTTTTAAATGTGCTCTAGCATCTCATTTAATTCAGAATTTTCCTAGCTGTCCTAGAATGTTTATTTACCTAGTATTTGTATCATTTTGACATACTTTTAAAATTCCTTGGCAGTTGGCTTGGAATTGCTTTGAATTAATAGATTTCTTAGGGAGAACTGGCATTTTTATGATGTGCAGCCTAAGAATAAACAACATTTCTACATTTATTCTTTTACTTTTTAAAGTTAAGTTTATTCCTAGGTAGTTAAAATATTTTTGTTGTTCATGGGCTCCTTCCTTCCATTGTGCTATTGTTTACTTATAAGAAAGCTAATAAATATATTGATAATTATAGTATCTCTAATATTTCAAAATTAAGCATAATTCTGCTTTAGTCTTTGAATCTCTTCTGGATCCATGTGATTTAAAGAGGGGGAATTAAAACACAAACAGATTTTTGGTTGAAGGTTTAACTGAAACCCAGTTCACTACTAGATTTGGTACCCAGGCCTGCTGAAACCCTCTGTAGACTGCAGGAGAGTGAGCCCACCTCCCTGGCCCTTAGCACAAGCTCCTGCTCCAAGGATGTTAACGCACAGTCCTTCTCAGGCTAGACTTTCAAGATATATGACAGAGCCACTGGCTGGGAAGTACGGGGATCTACCTTGAGGGGCTGCTGCTACTGAGCCCCAACCTAGCATGGCCATGTGTGAATAAGCCCCACAGAGGCTGACTGTTATGATTTTTCAAGGGGAGTCAGTAATTCAGCCTTTTACCTTTAACATGTTGAATTAAAATGTCTAAATATCCTGTATGGGCCAAACTACACTTATCTGTGGCCTAGGTGAGCCCTGATAGCTGGCAACCTGCATTCCACTCCTGTTGAGTGGAACCTCAGGAAGTTGACTTCCGTCTCCACACTCCCAGAGTCACTATCCACATAAATACGCATACACATGAAGGAATATAGTCTCCTTGTGAGCTGCCTCAACTTGAGTTTCCATGCTCCACCTCCAATCACAAACTGCCCTCTGTGTCATACACTCTCCTCAGGGATTTTATTAGATCAACATACGGGTGCTGAGAGACCAGGATCATTGCATAGATGAAAAAAGTGAGACTCATAGCTGTGTCCAAAGTTAGACACAATGAAGTGACAGCACTGGGGGTGGCCCCCAGCTTATCCATGCAGCAGAATGGCCAGCAGCACAGCCCCCCCCCCCCCACCGCCGTGTTCAATCACAGCACCCTTGAACACTGGCTGTGATGTCAGGAAAAATACCTGCCTGCCCTAGGTCCCAGTTTCTTTACGTATGATATTCATTGCATCACCTCCCAGTGTTCTTCTAAGGGTAAAAAACGGGCTCACTCCAAAAGGGTGCTTGGGCCGTGGATTTACCTCAGTGGCATAAGTGCCTTTCAAATGCAGAGTTGTGAGTTTGATCCCTGGTACATATAGAAATAAAAATAAAAAATAAAAGGAAGTGCTTGGTGCCTAAGCACTCCATGAAATGACAATGACTATTATTATGACCTGGTCCACACTTCTTTCTGCTCTACCCTTTGCAATTGCTTGTAGTACTTTGAAAACTGTAATGTCTGGGGATCTAGAAGACTCTTCACGGTTCTCCTTACATTGGGGAAGGCACTGCCTCACTGAGCCTAGCTTCTGTACCTGCACAATGACGTATCATCAAAAGTACTGTCATGGTTGCAGGTGACATCAGAGGAGAAGACATCACAGAACATCCGTGATGGCAGTAAAATTTCGGGAGACTGAGTGAAGCTCTCTGGCTCCAGCCTCCCTTCATTCTCCTAGCTTGCAGGCTCCTCCTCATTACATGTGCATGCAGGTCAGGTCACTGTGGCCTTCTTACTCTCATGGGGCTCCCAGACCTGCAAGTGGGGCCCAGCTGCTTCAGTCTGAGCCTTGGTGCTGACCTGTCAGCTCAGGTCGCAGAGTTGGCCTCACTGCCTTGCTGTTCCAATTTAAAGGGCTTTGGAACTGAGATCCTGTTTCCTCTGTTTCTTCCCCTATGGTTTTCTAAGCCAAGGACAATCGTCAGCCTCCCTGATGTACCAGCAACCTAACTGTGTGTCTAAGAAACCTTGTCTCTGCCACTGTGTACTGTGTTCTGCCCTCAAGGCACCCTTCCAGCTTAAGCTGTACCCACAGGCTCTGGCCCAAGTGTGGGCCTCAGTACCCCACTGTCTAAGGGCCCCCTGTCTGTCATGGTGGCCTTCTCCAGGGGCTGGAAGTTCAGACAGTTTCTGGTGCTCCCCAGTAACCAGTGCTGCTGGAAGAGGGAGTATGGTGGGTGGAGAGGAGCTGTAGCAACATGCACAACTTTGACAATCCATGTGACAGGTCTCTTCAACAACAGCCACATACATTGGGTGCTAACTGTGTGTTATGCAAGCATCTAAGTACTTTAGAGTGAGCCCGTTCATCCTCGTAACTACCTTGTGCGGTAGGTGCTACCATTATACAGCTCAGAAAACAACAGCAGGCATTTGTGTGAGGTTGGGTGGCTCCTCCAAGATAGCTGCACAGCTAGCAAATGACAGGTCCAACCCTAACTGTGAGTGGGGAGCCCATGCTGTTTGTCGCTGTTGTATTACCTGGCACAGTGCTAGGGGTGAAAGCCAGGACTTGGTGTACACTGACCAAGTGCTCTACTGCTGAGAGCCAGGGCTTTACCCTCACAGTGAAATGGACACTGGCCCTGGCCTCCAGGAAGGCAGCTGTTTGGTACATACCCAGCCTAAGCCTCCTAGGTCAGGACCTAGCCTCTGCTGAAATTTTGAAATGCCAATCACAAGCTGCAAAGAATCCCACTCCTTGAAGCTGTTGCCAACCAGGGCTGCTTTGCTCATGAAATGAATAAATCCCCATCTACAGGAGCCATCTCTCCAGAGGATTCCCTGTCACTCCTCTCAGCCACAGTTCCTTTGGCATTTGTTTTCCTCTGGCTTTCTTGGAATCATGTACAGCCATGTCTTAAGCACAGCTAAAACTGTGACCCAAGCAGTTTCCTGCCTGGTCTGTTCCAAGACCTCATCACCTCGATAAAGTAAAAATGGCCAGTCTCATCCAAAAATACCAAAAAGCCTTCCTCCCACCATGTATTCATTCTCCTTCTCCCTCTTCCACTCAATCCCTTATAATCCAGGTCCCCTCACTTGTCAAAATGGGGTAGGACTGTGGGCCTGGTACACTGCTCCCAATGTCAGCAGGTGTGGGGCTGGTCAGGTTGGCCTTCATGTTATCCAGCCCTCCAGCCAATGAGGCTGTGGCTGAGCATTCAGTGGTCTGAAAGAGGAGACAGAAACATCTCAGACCAATAGTCTGAAACACCACAATCAAAAGCAGCACCGCATACTGGTCTAATCCAAGCCTGTGTTGAAGCTCACAGTGGGTCATGAATCCCTGTTGGAAGTACAGATTCAGACATAGACGATTTCTAAAATTGACAATGCTCCCCAGGTAAAGAGAGGCAGAAGTCTACACCAGCTTCACAGGAAGTCCAACTTGCCTTGCTTTTGGTCTGCAGAGCACCTGGTCCAGTCCTAGTCAGCCAGAGCCACCATCTTCCTCCAGGCAGGGAGGGAGACTTCAGTAACCAAAGCAATTCAGAAGAAAGAATCTTCTTGGCAGCAAGATGGACAGAACACTTCCCAGTTTCTATGCTCTCATGCCACAGGATGGAATCACAGGAACAAGTGTCAATGGAAATCTGGGAGATCACCCAGTTCAAATTCCCATGTTACAGGTGGGCAAGCCAAAGTCCAAAGACTGAACCATAAGCATGAGTGCATGTCTCTTCCTCCCAAGCCTATTTTCCATTAAGAATACTCTTGCAGACACTTAAACCAAAGAGTCTGGTTGTGCTTCCCAACCTCTGGAGTGGGCAGTGTTTTGAGACCTTGGCATTGTCAGTAGAGGGACGTCCCTATCTGCCCAGTGTTATGGCCTTCCAGGCAGGGAAAGGAGAACAAGCGGTTTTCTGGAAGGGACTGCAGGCATCCTGTGTAAAATGAGCCACTGGAGGAAACCAAAGGAGCCCCTGGTCAAGGGGAAGTTGGAATTCGGTCCCATACACATTCTCAGGACTTTGCTCTGCAAATCAGTTAGAAAGTTCTCCCTGAGCAGCTTCAGCACCAACTGGCGTTGGTGGCAGCAGTTAGCACAGGCGTGGCTGAAGGCCCAGGTGCCTGAAATGCTGCTCATGGAGGACAACTCATCCAGGGACACAGGCTCATCACCCATTTTCCAGCAGAAGACGATTCTGAAACAAGTGGAGAAGAGCCAGGCCCATAGCATGCCAGAGACTTCTAAGGGAGCAGAACAAGCCTAGTGAGATCAGCCTACCTCCAGCAGTCAGTATACAGCCACAGTAATTAACACAGTGTGATACTGACACGGGGAAAGAAAAATAGACTGCTGAAATGGAATTCAGGCCAAAAACTGATCTGTGCACATATGAAACCTTGATATATGAGAGATGTGATGTATAAATCAGCAGGAAAAGATGGACTCTTTAATAAACAGTGTGGTGGTAACTGATTATCCATTCAGAAACAGAGGGAAAAAAGAAATTGGATCTTTACACCAGACACAAAAATCCAATCCCTGAGGGATTAGAGACCTAAATGCAAAAATCAAGGGTGTGAGCCTGTTTTGGACTGCTGCACCTAGCCATCGGTGTGCAGAGGAGGGGCTGGGTGGATCTGGGGCTCCTGCATCGGCCTCCCTGTGTGTCTGGGGGACTGTGGATGTCTCTGCGGGCGGTGGAGCATCACAGGTTCCGGAGGCCCTGCAGCCTGTGGTGAGTGCTCAGCACACTCTGCCCAGAGCCCAGACTGTTTGGGTCCCTCCAGGCTTCCAGATGCAGTGAAGTGGAGAGGTGGGTTTGAGGCGTCTACATCCGCATCCACATAGGCTGCGATTGGAGAGCTGTGGTGCTTCCAAGGGGCAGGTGGGCGCACAGTGTCCCTGAGGCCCAGCTTGTCTGGAACTTCAGAGTTCTGAGGAGGCAGAAGAGCGTCATTGGTTCTGCAGGCCCAGTGGCTTGGGGTAGCATGGTGCCAGAGTCTCAGTAGCTGTAAACATAGAAGGGGATTTTCAACAGATCCTGAGGAAGCTTTCAAATAACACTTGAAACACAGAAATATAGGAAAATGACAAAACAAAAGACCAAATTACAACCTCAAACCTCCAGCCCATCTCAAGAAACCCTAAGAGCAACATATAGAGAAGAAAATATATGCCATACACCTCAAACATTGGACATAATATCTACTGAAATAAAAAAGCAGCTCCAGGAAGCTTTAAAGGAGTTTGAAATCAAAATAATCTCCCAGGTAAAAGAAGAAATGATAAAAGAAATGAAAGAGATTCTGAATATATCTAAAGAAAACACAGTTAAAAAATTGGAGGAACTAAACAAAAAGATAGAATCCCTAGATGAGCAATATAAGAAACAAAAAGAAGAATACAAAAAGCAGATGCACAGAGATATACAGGAAATAAAAAACTAAAATGAAAGTTCTAAAAACCGCCTTAATGAAAGTGAAGATAGAATTTCAGACCTTGAAGACAGGATTGCAGCTAGTGAACAGGAAAGGAAAGATCTTTTAAAAATAACAAGGAATCAGGAAACAACAATTCAACAACTGCAAGACGATGCAAAGAAGAATAACATAAGAATGATAGGGATTAATGAAAAAGAAGGAGACAACATAAAGGATGTCAAGAGGATATTTAGAGAAGTAATAGCTGAAAATTTCCCAAGCATGAGATCAGAAACCGACATCAGGATCAATGAAGAATATAGAACTCCAAATAGTCATAACCAAAATAAAATACACCCAGACATATAATAATCACCATCCCAGAAATCCAACACAAGAATAGATTATTAAAAGCTGTCACAGAGAAAAGACAGATCACTTATAAAGGAAAACCTATCAGAATCACAGCAGACTTCTCAGCACAAACCATAAAGTCAAGAAGAGCATGGAGTGAAGTATTCCAGATCCTAAAGCAAAATGATTTCCAACCTAGACTGATATATCCTGCAAAACTATCATTCAAAATAGATGGTGAAATATGATACTTCCATGACAAAGAACAACTGAAGAACTTCATGAACACCAAACCAACCCTGCAAAAAATATTGAAAGTTTAGATACACAAAGGAAAAAACCACTAAGCAAAGTAAATGATTAAACAGAACAGAAAGATAAAGATGCAACAGCAGAGAGATAACATTCCAACAATAAACCAGCATTTAACAGTAATAACCATTAATGTAAATGGTCTCAATGCACCAATCAAAAGAAACAGACTAGCAGAATGGATCAAGAAACAAAATCCAACCATATGCTGTTTACAGGAAACCCAACTAACCCAGAAGGATACTCACAGACTGAAAGTCAAAGGATGGAAAACAATACTTCATGCAGCAGGAATCCAAAAAAAGGCAGGAGTAGTCATTCTGTTTGCAGACAACGTGAACTTTAAACCAACAATCACCATAAAGGACAAAGAAGGTCACTACATACTCGTAAGGGGAAAACTCCAAGAGGAAGAGATAACTATCTTAAATATATACGCACCAAACTCCAGAGCACCCAGTTATATAAAACAATTATTAAAAGAAATGAAAACTCAAATTATCAGTAACACAATTGTAACAGGAGATCGTAATACGCCATTGACACCAAGGGACAGATCAACCAGACAGAAAATGAGCAAAGAAATAACAGAACTGAATCACACCTGTGAACAAATGGTTTTGATAGACATATACAGAATGTTCCACCCAACAACATCAGAATACACATTCTTCTCAGCAGTACATGGATCATTCTCTAAAATAGACCATATATTAGCTCACAGAACATATTTAAACAAATGCAGAAGAGTTGAAATCATCCCTTGCATGTTATCGGATCATAGCACTCTAAAATTAGAAATTAATGATAAAAGATACTGCAAAAATCCCACAAACACATGGAAACTGAATAACACACTCTTGAGTAATCACTGGGTCACAGATAAATTAAAGAAGAAATTAAACAATACCTAAAAGAAAATGAAAATACAGATACAACTTACCGGAATCTGTGGGATGCAATGAAAGCCGTCCTGAGAGGAAAATTTATTGCACTGAGTTCCCACATCAGGAAAACAAAACGAATACAAATAAATAACTTGATGCTACACCTCAAATAGCTAGAAAAAGAAGAGCAAGTGAAGCCCAAAGCAAAAGAAGAGAGGAAATTATAAAAATCAGAGCAGAAATCAATGCAATAGAGACTACGCAAACAATCCAAAGAATCAACAAATCAAAGAGTTGGTTCTTTGACAGAATAAATAAAATCGATAAGCCCCTAGCCAACCTTATTAAAAAAAAGGGAAGAAAAAGCTCAAATTCATGCAATAAGAAATGAAAAAGGTGAAATCACTACAGACCCAATAGAAAAACAGAAGATCATCAACACCTATTTCGAAAACCTCTATTCCCAAAAGTTTGATAACACAGAAGAAATAGACAGATTCTTAGAAGCATATGAAGTACCAAAGCTAGATCAAGAGGATGTAAAACTGTTGAATAACCCAATCTCTGTTAATGAAATTGAAAATGTAATTAAGTCCTTAACCACCAAGAAGAGCCCAGGCCCAGATGGATTCACTGCAGAATTCTACAAGAAATACAAAGAAGACCTAATGCCGACACTCCTCAAACTATTCAATGAAATTGAAAGGGAAGCAATCCTTCCTAAGTCATTCCTGGAAGCAAATATTACTCTAGTACCAAAACCTGAGAAAGACCCAACTAAAAAGAGAACTATAGACCGATCTCCCTAATGAACACAGATGCAAAAATCCTCAATAAAATATTGGCAAATAGGATGCAGCAAATCATCAAGAAGGTTATACACCATGACCAAGTGGGATTCATCCCAGGAATGCAAGAAATGATCACATGATCATTTCTATAGATGCAGAAAAAGCCTTCAATAAGGTCCAACATTTATTCATGATAAGAACTTTACAGAAAACTGTAATAGATGGTCTTTACCTCAATATAATATAGGCCATTTATGACAAACCAACAGCCAGCATCATAAAAAATGGCCAAAAATTGAAAGCCTTTACTTTAAAATCAGGCACAGGACAAGGATGTCCTTTATCACCACTCCTATTTAACATAGTACTGGAAGTACTAGCCAGAGGAATTAGGCAAGAAAGAGAGATAAAAGGGGTAAAGATAGGAAAAGAAGAAGTTAAATTATCATTGTTTGCAGATGACATGATACTCTACATAGAAGACCCGCTAAACTCCATTGAAAGACTCTTAGATACAATAAATAAATTCAGTAATGTGGCTGGATACAAAATCAATACTCAGAAATCAATAGCATTCCTATACACGAACAACAAAATCACAGAGAGGGAAATAAGAGAAAGTGCACTCTTCACATTAGCAAGCAAAAAAATGAAATATTTAGGAATTACTCTTACGAAAGAAGTGAAAGAATTATACAGTGAAAATTATAATACACTGTAAAAGGAAATTGAGGATAATCTCAGAAAATGGAAAGATATCCGTTGCTCATGGATAGGAAGAACAATCATTGTGAAGACGGCCATTCTCCCAAAACTGTTGTACAGATTCAATGCAATCCCAATAGAAATACTGTCAACATACCTTTTAGATCTAGAGAAATCACTCCTAAATTTCATCTGGAACCAGAAGAGACCTAGAATAGCAAAGGCAATTCTAAGCAGCAAAGACAAAGCAGGAGGCATCACAATACCTGACTTGAGGTTATACTACAAAGCAACAGTAGTTAAATCAACATGGTATTGGAATCAAAACAGAGCTGAAGATCAGTGGAATAGATTAGAAGATACAACCACAAGTACAAACACACTCAACCACCGTATCTTTGATAAAGGAACCAAGCAGTTTCACTGGAAGAACTACAGTCTCTTAATAAATGGTGATGGAAAAACTGGCTCTCCATTTGCTGAAAACTAAAGCTAGACCCATATCTATCACCATGTACTAAATTAAAAGCTAAATGTGTCAAAGATCTGAATATTAAAACAGAAACACTAAACCTATTGGAAGACAAATTGGGTAGAAACCTTGAAGACATAGAGTAGGTAGAGAATTCATGAACAGGACTCAAACCGCACAGGAAATACTTCCCAGAATCAATAACTGGGACCACTTCTTATTAAAAAGTTTCTGCATGTCAAAAGAAATCTCCAGCATAGTGAAAAGAAAACCCACAAACTGGGAAAAGATTTTAGTGAACTCTCTCTCAGACAAGGGACTCTTGTCTAAAACATATGAAGAATTTAAAAAACTCAGACCCCCAAAATTCAAAGATCCAATCCAAAAATGGGCATGAATACGCACTTCTCAGATGAAGAAATGCAAGTGGCATGTAAATACATGAAAAAATGTTCATCATCATTGGTCATTAGAGAAATGCAAATTAAAACCACACTGAGATACCATCTCACTCCTGAAAGAATGGCCAGGATTAAGAAAACCAACAACAACCAGTGATGAAGAGGCTGTGGGGAAAAAGGATCTCTCCTGCACTGTTGGTGGGAGTGTAGACTGGTGCAGCCTTTGTGGAGGTCTGTCTGGAGATTTCTCAAAAATTTGGGATTGGAAATCCCATTTATTCCACTATTCCACTTCTAGGCATATTCCCAGAAGAATTGAAAGCATCATACCACAGTGATATATGTGCACCTATGTTTATAGCAGCACAATGTGTAATCACCAGATCTTGGAAACAACCCAAGTGTCCATCAACTGAGGAATGGATAAGAAAGTTGTGGTATTTCTCTACAATGGAGTATTATTCAGCTATAAAGAAGGATCGCATTGAGATATTTATCAATAAATGGCCACAGCTTGAGACCATACTCATAAGTGAAATAAATCAATCTCGCATGTGTGAATACCGAATATTTTCCCTAATGTAAGTAATGATTCAAATATATAAAAATATGTGGTAATCATGATTCCCCATTATGTGGCCTTGAAGCCTTATAAAGTTTTCACTTATTAATTGGAAAGGCTTTATTCTGGGCTTCTTGATATGGAAATATTTGAAGCTATAGTATATGAAGTTTTATTGAAATATTTCAAGGAAAAAGACAGACACTATGGTAACAACTAGTAAGTCGGGTTATTTGGTGGTGAAGCAGTAGGTTGCTGAAACAGTCATGCTTTGACCTGTATTGTTATATTGTTATGTCCTCTTTTATCTCAACCTCTCCCTTATTCTTTAAAAAAATTATTGAGTTATTTCTTATGTTTGTTTTAATTAAGGGGAAAATTTAAAAAAAATTAGCAGGATATATAATAGTAACTTTTTTTTGATTTCCTATTAACTTGTTTTGAAGTCCTATAATACTCCCACAATCTTGTTTTGACTGATTAGACTCTGTTCCATTCTGTATGATAGTATCAATTTTGAGGGTATAGGCAACTACTTTGAAGGCAATAAGATTCACTAAGATGCCCATTCTGGTTTTACTATTGTCTCCTTTGGAAGTCCTGTAATGTTTACAATGCTTAAGTTTTATTGGTCTTGTTCTCTACTATTTTGTTCAACTTTATAATATCTAATGAGATAGACAATTCTGTTTAAGGAAACAAGAGACATTGTTGATAACCTTGTACTCTCTTTTACATCATGTGCTATGTCTATCCTTGGTTTTGTCTGACAGCCTTGTTTTGCCATATTTGACTTTATTCTCTCCCCCCCAAAAAAAGTAATAAGAACTAAGGAGTAATAAAACCCAAAATGTGTAAATTTTGTTGTAAAAAGAGAGGGAAAAAAGAGCTATAAAGGATACAACAGCAAGTGTGTTTAGGGGTGTTAAATAGCTGACCATATTAATGTTTTTGGTTGGATCATTGAACACAATTGTTTGCAGTCTCACTGTTTGAATGTCCACTTTGTATTCTTTGATAATGTGATTTGAGCAACTATTTCTAAGATGACAATATGTAATCTATTAACTGGTGATTTTTTACTTTTTTTTTTTTTGTAGTTCTGTGTTACGTGTACCCTTACACTGCTTTGTTTATTTTTGTGTTTTTCTCTTTTTCCTTTTAAATAAAAAAATTTTTAAAAGGGTGTCTAACATTTTCAGACACAAAAATCAAATCCCAGATGAATTAGAGACCTAAATGCAAAAATCAATGGTGTCTAACATTTTCAGCTCCATGTCTAGCTAAAAAGTCCTTGGGCACAAGTCTGTCTGTAAATTGAAAAATGTGGGGGTTTGTGGGTTGGTATTTGTACAGGGTTCCCATCACTGTAAGAACATGAGCAGGTGCCAGTACCTGTCAACCTCCTTAATGCCGCCTCCTCCACAAAGTCTTTCCTGGCTGCCACCCCCCAGGAAGCACGAGTCCCATTCTTCCTGTGGTCCTGCCAAGGGGTACTCAGAAACTAACCGCCATAATCTTCACAAGCGCATTAAGCTTCCAATTATCAGGCTTTTCTTCTGTGTTAGGAACTGTGCCCAACCACTCTCACTTCATCCTCCTGGTTACCCATGAAGCAGGTTCTATGGTCTGCATTTTACATGTGGAGAGTCTAAGATATCTATTATAGAAGGAAAGTGAATGGCAGAAAGTCACAGTTTTTAGGTGCCAGAACCAGGATTCAAACCTGGACCCTTCTGACTCTAACATCTTCATGATTATCCAAATGATTTTCAGACCATGGGTCCTGACCCACAAACAGTAGTGAGATAAATTTGCTAGTCTAACAATTTAAAAAATAAAGTTATAATGAAATAGAACAAGCTGGACATGGTGGCGTGTTGGCCAGCACTTAGGAGGCCAAGGCAAGAGAATTTCTGTAGTTTAAGGCCACCCTGGGCTACATAGTGAGATCCAGGCAATACCTTGTCTTATATATCAGTGGGTATATGTGTACCAGGAAGAGAAGAAACTGTATTTCTTACTGTAAGTTACATCCAGCAATGTCTGAAATATTCAGCCTTCATCCTGTGCAGCAAGGAGCTGTTGGGAAGAGGTCACTGTCTAGACTTCATCCCTGTAGAATGACCCTTGGCCGTTACATTGTCCTCCTGATTTGCTAATGATGAATTTGGAAGTTAAACTCACCTGAAGCAGCTCCTTTCGTGCACTGCTGTGTGCAAAGTTAGAAGATCAAAATGCCTATGCAAGGGTCTCTTTCCACATGGCATCTTCTCAAGATTCTGAGCCCTGAGAGTGAGCTCCAGTTCCTCCCAATCCTTTCTGTGTCCTGGAGCCCTATTTAATCGAGACAGTATGTGAGACCGGACACACTCTTGGACCTTCATCCACAAATCCCAAGTGAAAAGGCATATGGCCCCAGTGACTCCACCCAAGAGGGCTGAGAGTGCATAACCATTAGGTTTCATGGGCAGGGGTAACTAAGACAGGTTTCATGGGGCAGGCTGTTTTTAAACTGGAGCTCAGCAACCCTTGATCCCAGGCTAAGAACAGCTCAAGGAAGGCTCTGGAGGGAATAAGGGCCAGCATGTATGAGGTACCTGGAGCTGGTGGAAATATAAAGTAGACAAGCTGGAGTTTGACTATGAGGGACTTGTACAATGGCTGAACAATGGAACAGTGATCCTTCAGAGGGCCCAGTAGTGTCTTGGCCAAGACTCAGCACCCTGGTGTGCTTGACCAATCCTCCTAGCCCTGTCCCCTCTCTGTCTCCAGCTCCGCTTCTCTCCCATGGCTGGGCAGCCAGATCTGCACTGAAAGTCCCTGTTCCACACACACCAGCAAATTAATAACCATTCTCCTCTCTAAATTTCACATCTGGTGGTATTTTGCACAGACCACCATTATCATACTTCTTGATATCACATATCATGATTGTTAGCCTGTCTCCTTCCATGTTACCTTGAGCACACAGAACATAGAAAACATCCTTGCATCCCCCTAAGTGCTCACTGGATGAAAGAGTGAATGTATGGTCCAGCAGCATGGTAGAAGCCACAGCTCTCAAAAACTCACTGGTATTACCAGGAAAGCTCGAGGAACTCAACTGTCACTACAGCCACAGCTCACAAATGTATGCCAGGCCCTAAGTGCTGAAAGTACACTCAAACAGTCTTGCTGAATAGGAGGTTTCAGTGGAAGACAACTGCCCAACAAAATAGGCAACAAATGCACGACACAATGGAGAATCGCTGGCCACACCAAGAAACAGGCAAAACACTATTCAAATGAAAAAAGCTAAGCAAATGAATATGACTCTAAGGTTGGAGTTAACTGATAAGAGCATTAAAGCAGCTGCCATGAAAGTGCTTTGACAATTATAAATTCTGTCAAAACAAATAGGGGAAAAATGGAAAAAAAATCTCAGTGAAGAAATAAAAGTATTTTTTTAAAGGACAAAACAAATTACTGAAAACCATGACAGAAATAAAAGTTCATTTGCTGGCCTTCATTGAAGGGCAGAGGTGACAAAAGACTATCTATGAAGAAAGAGTAGGATTCCCTCAACCTGAGCAGTAGAAAAAAACTGTTAAAGTAAGCAGAGCAAAAGATATGACATTTTTATTATCAGAGTGCCAGCCAGAGAAGAGAAGAAAAGGGGAACAAAAATACTATTCAAGGAAATAATAGTTGAAAACTGTACAAATCTAGTGATACACATATTCAGATTTAAGAAGCAAACTTCTGAATCAGAAAATACAAAGAAATCTATGCCAAATTTGGGATCAGTGGTAAAGTATAATATCTTAACAAAATTTGAGCACATTAAAAACAAAGAAAAACAGCTGGTGTAGCTTATGTCTAGATGTTCCCCAATTTTCAGAGGTGGCTGGGTCTAGAGTTTGTGATGGTGGGACTGATTCATGGTGCTGTGCTAGGGTCAAGGACACTAGTGGTAGGGATACGAGTGCTACTGGCTCCCAATAGCCTGGGTTAGATAAGAGGGGCAGAAAGAGCTGTTGTTGTCCCTTGTTGCTTTGCTGCTTTCTATCAGCCTGGAACAGTTCTCCTCCGCAATGGTGCCCTGCCTTGGAGCCAGCTGCTAATGGGCTGAAACCTCTATGAACTATGAGCTAAAGTAGTCTTTCCTCCTTTATGTTAGGGTATTGCATATTTTATCTCAGCAACAAGAAAAGCAACTAAGACAGCAGCCAATGGGAAATAACAAATTATAGGAAAACACCAATTCAAAACCAATGAATTTCCTATCTCAAACCTTGCAAACTAAAAGCAACAGCGCAATATTTATTAACTACAAATTCTATATCCAGGTAAACTATCCATTTAGAACAAAGGGCAAATAGACTCTTAAGAGTAAAGAAAATTAAAAGAATGTTGTACCAATATACCTGCTTTTAAAGAATTGATGACCTTTAAGTAAAAAATTCTGTTTTTTGGTACTTAAGATCCTTGCTCTGGCCCAGGCCATGGAACTTCACAGCTTCCTGCTGTATTGGACCAACTCGGCGGGTCTTAAGCCTGCCTGCACCAACTTGCCCACTTCCTGTGAGTTTGGTGGACTCTGGAGAATTGGCCTCCCTGTGCCCTAACTTTTGAAACTGGGCAGCCTGAGGTGAGTGTCCTTGCACCATCCCAAACCAGGGAATTTGGGATCATTGCTCCCACCAGCCAAGGAACTTCACAGCTTCCTGCCACATTCACCCTACCACGCAGGACTTCGGCCTGCCTGCCCCACCCGCAGTGACCCTCTCTTAATCCAGGAAACTTGGTGGCCAGAGAAGCAGGAGCTGAGGGCATAGAAAAAAATCTCCAACAGGCAGAATGGATCAAGAAATAAAATCCAACCATATGCTGTCTACAAGAAACCCATCTAACCCAAAAGGATAGTCACAAACTGAAAGTGAAAGGATGGAAAACAATATTTAATGCAATAGGAACCAAAAAAAGTGGGGGTAGCTATTCTGTTTGCAGACAATGTGAACTTCAAAATATTAATGATCAGAAGAGATAAAGAAGGTCATCACATACTGGTTAGGGGAAAACTTCAAGAGGAAGAGATAACTATCTAAAATATATATGCACCAAATTCCAGAGTACCCAGTTATATAAAGCACAGATTAACAGAAATGAAAAACCAAATTAGCAGTAACACAATTATGACAGGAGACCTGAACACACCACTGACACCAAGGGACAGATCAACCAGACAGAAAATCAGAAAAGAAATAACACAACTGAATCACACCTGTGAACAAATGGACTTGATAGACATATACAGAGTATTCCATCCAACATCATCAGAATGCACATTATTTTTGTGCTGTAGTAGTTCCATCTTTATTAGAATTTTAAAAAATTTAAATAGTATATACTGCCAAGTGAAATCTATTATAAGAGAAACTCTCCCTTTTGCTTTTGAAATTTATATTGGAGCACATTTAACTATTGAGTTTTCTATTGCAAAACCTTTACCCAAGAAATCCACAAGGTGGTTTTTAACAGTCTTGCACAAAAATATTCATGACAGCGATATTTGTAACAATCCAAAACTAGAAATAACACAAATGTGTATCATGAGAATAAGGCGAATATGTTCATTCAGTAGAACACCATGCCACAGTCAAATAATTGAGGTACAGATTAAATGTTCTTGATAATTACTGCAACAAATATTAACATCAAAATAACAGTAAACGAAATAAGACATGATGTGTGCTTCCAAGTATAAAAAATATTAAATGCAAACAGAACTACAATAACAAAATAATCAGGGATTGATTAGAGAAAAGTGGTGGAACGAAGACTAAAGAAAGTTATTGCAGTGGAGCATGAGTAAGTTTTGCAAGGACGTAGGGATGCGCATTGTAACTGTAATGTGTACAGTGTATTTTCCCTCAGATATTTACTAGCAGGTAGATCAGCAGTCTATAAATTGAAGTTATGACTAAAATAGCAAGGTGGTCAACTGCAGCTGATGCCTTTTTGTCCCTACCTCTAATTCCTTTAAAAATTTATCAGAAAATAACAGTATTGTAGTCATTTCAGAGATTAATGGATCTCCCCTTCCAATTAATAAGTAAATCGTCGAGACTGTATTCCGATTTTGATATTGAGGTGTCTCTGTTGTGAATGGTGATAAGCCAAGGAGAGTGCTGACCAAGGGAAGATGAAGGTACATAGTCGATGAGACACAACAAGAAAGTGAAGCCAAAATTCATGAAACAAGACTTATGTTACTCACAGGACCCAGAGAGTTCAGGAGTGATGATGGGAAGTGGACAAAAAGTTTGGAAGCAGCATCTACTGACTTGTAGCAGATGGGGAGCAAGAGAAAGGGCAATGTGGAATTTTCCTCGGGGGACTTGGCCAAGCTACATGCTGCTGTGCTTAGGACAGTGCTGCGGGAAAGAGGATCAGTCAAAGAGAGCTTGTGAAGTGGGAAACTTACATAACTCCAGTGGTAATTAGTAAGTCAGATCATGGCAGTTATAGGTGTGTAGGCTGGGGGGCAGTGGGCTGAGGAGCAAAGGGATCATATTCTGAACAACTCCATGTGAAGGGAAGGCTTAATGAGGCACACATGACAGGATAAGTGAGATTCGAATAAGTTATGGCAGGCCTAAAATTAACATTGTGGTAGCCACAAATTTATGAACAAGGACATCAAAAGACCATGAAAGTTCATCGCAAATGTGAAGAGGCTTTATGGGAAAATTATAGCAAGCTTTCAAGCAAGTCCAAGTTGACTTAAGAAAACAAGTTTAAGTGATAGCTTTGGGTTTATTGTGGTTAAGGAGTGGGACGAGGATAAAGTTCCACGAGCTCTTGCTTGTATCATTTGAACTTCACACCAACACCAAAAGAAAAAACTTACAGATATTTTTTTTTTGTCTTTTTCCTTTTTATCGGTACCAGGGATCGAACTCAGGACTGCCTGCTTGCAAGGTAGGCGCTTATGCCGCTGAACTAAGTCCCCTGCCCCCAGATCACCTTGTAAGATGTGAGATTTAAAAGCTATTGGGAAGCAAACATCAAAAATACAATCAGTTACTTTATCATCATGATATCTTGACATCTGAAGACTTAAAATTTGCCAACAATCATTTGATGGAATTTAATGTATGTCAGTCACTATGGAACTCTATGTGACCTGAGTCCCCAGTCTGGCAGAGATGAAACTGTAGTAAAAATCTTGTTTCAAAGCCCAGTTTTATATTATGAGAGGTTGAATGAATACTTTGGTCACTTATAAAAATGTCTGTAACTGAAGGGAGGCCTTGTATCATGCCTTTGGATTATATATGAGCATCCACATGTATTATTGATATATAATTTATAATTGTGAATACCTATGAGACAGGAAATTTCCCAAAATTCTTTATCCTGAAGGGACAAACATTGGATTAAGTTTTGAGGCTACCATTAGTCAGACCAACTGAGTGTATCATTGGGAATTGTACAGACTCCATTAAAATATTCACATGGACCTAACTGTTTCCCCAAGCATGTGCTAAGATGCCTTCCCCCCAATGAGACAATTGTTCTAATCCTCAAGTTGTATCCTCTCCAGGGATATTCAGGTTGAAGGAATGAGAATCAGCAACTCTTCAGTGACTTTCAAGTTTGTGTTAGAGGCATTATCATCTGTAGAATGTGTAAAGTGGCTTTGCTCTTGTTTTAGTTGATCCAGGTGACAAATGCAGTAGCCAGAGTGTCCAGGATAAAGGTACCCTTCTCCAGCACAATGATATCTTGTAAGATACCAAAGGCAAGGGAGCGCACCCATCTCATTCATGTTCCATATGTTAACCTAGGTTTAACACTCACTTTTAGGTCTTCCTCTAGTAATTCATAGAGAACATACAAAGCTTGCTAGGGTGTAATAGACAGCTGGGTATGGAAGTTCACAGGCTTACAGTTTGTGATAATCTCTTTCTCCAAAGAGGTTTGTATGTGTCCAATAGTTTTCACCCTAATGCCAGATAGTGTCAAGCCTAGCAGAACAGTGTCTTGCATCAAAAGCCATTATTAAAGTAAGTCACACTGTTATGTTGCCAGCCACTGAAGGCTGGTAAGGGTCGGGGACCACTTGTGGTCATCATGCCAACCCAGCAGCACGAGAGGAGGTGAATAAGGTTCTGGTTCTGAAAGAATGTCTGGTGGACACTGATAAGAGTGCCTTTATACTGCATCTTAGAGATTCTAGAATTTTTTGGAGGGGGCCTCCTTCGAAAGTGTTCATTTCAAAGTGACAGCATAAATTGGCTTAACCAAAACATAAGAAGAATAATAAGTTGCCACTAACCTTCCTCCAAAGGTATCAAGGATTTTGGACTTATTTTCACATTGAGGTGTTAGGCGAATCTGTCTTTTTTCTGATAATATCAGGGATGCAGTGGGAATACAGAATGGTATAACCACTATGGAAATCAATGTGGAGATTCCTTAAAACTAGGACTGCCGATTCCATGTAAACCAACTCTTTCCCTTCATCCCAAAAGAATTAAAAGCATCACAACACAGAAATATATGTGCACCTATGTTTGTAGCCCCACGGCTTATAATGGAAACAACCTAAATGCCCATCGACTGAGGCATGGACAAAAAATGTGATATTTTTTATACAGTTGAGTACTACTCAGCCATAAAAATGATGAACTGGACAGTTTTATAGGTAAAATAATGCAACATTAGAATCTATTCATTAGTGAAATAAATAAGGCACACATATGTAAATATCATACTGTTTCATTAGTGTGACAAACTGAAAGAAAAAACATATATATGTGTATGTATATGTATATAAAATAGTTAATAGAGCTATATAATTGATTTCTCTGAGTTCACTGAAGAGAAAGATTTTTGCTAGTTTTGGTTGGACAATTGAATGCAGATGTCTTGTGCTCTGGGTCAATGATTTAGGATAACAATGGGCAAAGTATATATCATCATTGTCCCCTGATTGACATGCTTTGAAATTTTGTTGTATTTTCTTCTTCATCTATCAGTTTCTGACCTAGATCCCCAATCTCCCAAACAAGTATACAAGGAAGGCTTAAATAAATGAGACAAGTGGTATGATTTTAGGACTCTAGGAGGATCAAAACCCTTTAGCTGAGTTCGAGACTCTGGGAGCTAAGACAAAGACTTCTCTGGATTTCCCTTTTTATGAGGTCTAAATAAAGAGCGGGAGAACTGAGGAAAGTGTGCAAAATGAGCAGGGCCTTGGGAGTCCCTTCAAAGACTTTTCCAAGTAGTAAATTATGCTAGTTTAGGACGTCTTAGCTCCATGAAGACATTTATAGTAGGAGTGAGAGTGCAGGTGTCAAATGCCTGCAACTGCAGTCTCTTATCTGCTTAATCACTGGCTGAGTCACTCTGAGGGGTGAGAAAACTCTGCTATAAACTGGGTCATTTTGGTAAGATCTGGTGTTTGAGCCAGGTGTCCTCAGCTGTGGCCTTGTCTTCTCTTTTGAGGTATCGCTGGCATCATAGGCTACTACAGCCTCAGCCAAGACCAGTGATTCATAGAGGTTCACTTACCAGGAATCCACTCCCATCACCAGGCAAGGGGCTGGAGCCTAGAACACACTCACAAATAAACATAAAAAGCCCATTATGTCATCTTAAATCCTTCTCAGAGCTGCTTCATAGTGGTCTCCAACATTTTTCTTCTTCTTTTCTTTCTTTTTATCCTTGAATAAAATGGATTTGAAAAAAAATCAAGGATGCAGTAGCCTTCAAAAAGCAGCAAAATGCCCAAATATTACTAAGGCTGTGAGGCTTGTTCTTGCTGTGGGGAAGTGCCCATACCCTATCACACATGACTTAGAATTCTTCCTTATAATTCTTTGGGAAAAAATAGGAGTAAGCTTGAAGAAAATTAAATGTTTTAAAAATTTAGGCAATAAATGACATAAATCTTCTTTTCAAAATTTCAAACTCATTCTGATATACAGTTAAACAATTTTCAGTGGCTTGGTTGTGCTTTTCAAAAGTCATACTGAAATTCATTTCCTAAAAAAATGATAAAGGAAGCTGATATCTAAAAGAAATCTTTGGATCTTAAGATCATAAGACAGGCTGTTACTGTTTCTTTATTATTTTCTTTTTTCCCTCTAAATTTTTTACCCACATTTTTCCTTTTTTACTAACCCTTTTTTGCTTTATCTCCAAACATTTTTTATCCCCCATCCTCAATTTTATATCTGCTCTTTTCTTTCCCCTTTTCAATACTGTATTTCTCCCTCTTCTGCCTCTCATTGGTTAATAATCACTGGCGGTTAATAATCACTGGCTGAGTCACTCTGAGGGGTGAGGAAACTCTGATATAAATGGGGTCAGGTTGGTGAGAAGACACAGCTCTACAGCTGAGACAGCCAGAAGGAAAGATGGAACAAGATAAAGTTTCCATGGAAAAACCAAGCAAAGTAAGTCATGGTTTACTCTTGAAGTGCTGTCTCATGTATGCTATCACTAGTTCACGTACTTTACTACCTGAGGCGGTGTTGTAGATAGTACAGGAGTGTGTGTGCACCCTGCTTTCCTGGTAAATTGTAAGTAGCTGATGTTTAAGAAACAAGATCAAGGGTGTCAGCTGCATGAATTGAGGGAGGGGGGAAGAAGTGTCAGCGCTGAGTGCTCTGCTGAGCAAAGGCCACCTTTCCCAGGGGAGAGGTGCAGGCTCAGAATTTGGCAGTGGAAGATGTTAGGGTATTAGGATTCTGGACTCTACGCATAGCTTCCCTAACCACTGGGTTCTCTGTGGTAGTTTTTCCTAAACAGTGACTTATTTTGATTGTCCTTAGCCAGGAAAGTTTCCTCCTACTTCTCTTTCACTGCCAGGTTCAACATGATAATAGCTGCCGGCTGTGCATCTCAGCAGCTACACTGGTGGATCCAGGGAGGGATCTTTGTGTCACCATTTGGTACAATGAACAGCAAGGTGTATGCATGTGTATCAAAGTGTGAACAGAATTAGCCCAATTCAGTACAATAGTGTATGAAAATTCACTCTTACAACTTTGGGAGGAGGGTGAAAATGAGTCATTAGGTTACTTGGCTACTGATGATGACTTGGATGATATTAGCCAAAGAAGTTAGCAAAATATGACAGATGGAGAAATGCAGAATGACGACCTTGATACAGATGAGGAGGAAAACAGTAATGTAAATAAATATTCAGTCAAAATGGTCATGTGTACCTGAATGATCCAACATTAGAAGTAGTTTTGAAAATGTTACTAGATTCTTGCCAGGGGTGAAACCGATTGGATGGAAAGCCAATACCATAATTCACTGTTGGAAATTGTTTGTACAATTATACTACAAGATATACTACAAGATGTTTTAAGATACACTAATATGAGCCAGATGTGATGGTACATACCTGTAACCCCAGAACTCAGGAGGCTGAGGCAGGAAGATCCTGTAAGTTCAAGGTCAGCCTGTGCTACACAGTGAGTTCAAGGATAGCCTGGGCCCCATAGTGAGGCCCTGTCCTCAAACAAACAAACAAACAAACAAACAAAGAAACAAAAAGACTCACCATGAATCTTTGCAAATGAAGCCAGAAATGATCACCTTTTACAAGATGAAAGGCAGAGTAGATGCTGATGAGTTCTGTGGCAGTTATGAAGTTACTCAAGGCATGAAATATTGGCCAGTGTTTAGGCTTTACTCAACCCTAAATATGTCAGGCATAATTAGTTTCATAGTTTACAAAGAAAATGACAAGCACAAAATACTATGGAGAAAATTTATTAAATGATCGAGGCTGGGATTGATAAATAATCAATTACAAGAGGAAGAACAGTATGTATCTGCTCAGAGAACTCTGCAAAAAAATTCTAGAGTAGACCAATGAACAAACAGGTGGACCATCACAAGACCCTGCTAAGAAATAGGAAGAGCAGCAAGATGCTAAGTAGTCACACCAAAGAAGACAGGAAAACCAAACACATATGTGATCAGGGTAAGTGATTTTGTGTGTAAACACACACTTCTCATGTGAGAAAACTGCATTAAGTGGCCTAATTGAGGTAAAGATTATTTTTGTAGTAGAGTTTTATTCAGTTCACACAGGAATGTATTTATGCTATTATTGTTTAGATCCAGTTGATATTGAAAATGTGATGCTTATTCTAAACATCACTCATTACAGATTAAAAATTTAATACTTTATTGATATTTTTCTGTTAAGTATAGATTACTTAAAAATCATAAAATTAACATTGATATTTCATCAGTAGAAACACTTATAAAGAAATAGACATGGTGGTTATACATCCACCATAATGTGCCTTTCAAAATATTGCCTGTGATGCCCTGGGGGTTGAGGCTCTTATCTTTGTAAGAAACAAGTGACACAAGATTTTTAATTTATGGGCTTCTCTTTTAAATAAGTAAAGCACGTTAAATTCAATAGATAATGTGCTTTAAATGTGAAATTCAGGGAATTATCTAAGAACTGAGAAACTGTGATCATGTCCTTTTCAGATGGAATTTGAAACATAAAAAGGATTTATAGAGGCAAAAGTAATATTAATGGTGTGAATGTTTTGCAAGATTCATGTAGCAAATGGCTGTCTCAGAACAATTTAAGAAACGTGTTGGATTTTTCCTCTGGATTTAAATTTTCTGATTATTTCCCACTATCTGTGGTGCTCAATTTATAGATCTAAACCACATTGGGTGCTTTTTATACTCAAATAGCATCCAATTTCTTTTGTCTATGTCTTCTGCATTTCAAAGAATATCAGCAAATTCAGTAGGCAGTGATCTAGTTCAGCATCACTAAGACTCCATTTTGAGATACTAATTTTCAATGAAATTAAATATTTCATTTATTTTGCAGATGGGTGTTAAGAAGGGGTTAAAGAAAACTAGGAAAGAAGTTCCTTTCAATTTTTTAGCTATAGCTATCATTATTACCTCAGCTTCTTAGATAGATTGTAGAGATAAGAATATGTATTTGAGGAAGGCTATTAAGTGCAAAGCTATACTAATTATAACTTATTAATAATCATTAGTACTACTAGTTTCATTAGAAGACATCCATATATTTTTCTGCCTTATGTAAATCTTTTAAAAATTTGGCTTCACTTCCAATGGAATGTGAGTATCTCACTGTGCGTGCATGCATGCATTTTAAATGACTTAATTATTCAATATGTATGAAACAAATTGTATACTTACAAATAAATCTTATGAGTGCATGAGATGTGTAAAAACAGAAATCAGATCAAAGTGTTAAAAGAGAAATAATATTATTTAAACAAATAACTTAGTCAATCCTTCTGTAAACTACTATACAATCTTGTACAAAATTGAATCATTCTTCAAATATAAGCACTTATTAATGTAGAAGAATCAGCACATAAGTATCAAAGTGTGAGTTGTGTAGATTTAAAAATAAAAATGAGATGAATGAATAAAGGTTATAAGCTACAGAAATTAAGTGTGAATGTAGGATAAAATGTTCCTCATATTTTATTAGAATGAAATTTGAAAAAGAAGTAAAATTAATACAACTGCTTGTCTTATTTACAAGATAACTGTCACCATGTCTTATATTATTTGCATAACTCATCTTTTGTTTTAAATAAATGCATTATTTTAGAAATTACAGTACTGAAACTACATTCATAAAACTGAACCAAGTTCCATAAATCAGTTGGTCAATAAAAAAATCATTGTGACATTTAGAGTACAGACAAATCGTTTAAGCACACAAATTGGATAAAAGTTCTTCAAGCAAAAAATATGTCTCCCATTGCAACTGTTTACACTATTCATATATATAATATTCATATAAATGCCACTCATAATAACATTTATCTTATTCATATATGTATCATGCATGTGATAATTATCAGTAAATATAATAGATTATCTGTGCTTCAGAATGGTGAAAGTGGAACCAGTCAGTAAAGCAGATGTGATTTTAACTAGGTCTTATCTGATTTTAATATGATTTTAATTTTATTTTAATGAAAGCTCATTTCATCATTTGATTTTTATATATATCTAGGTTATCACATGCCGGGCAGCCATTGCCTGGACAGCAAATGCCCCACTGTCCATTGAGGAGGTTGAAGTTGATCCACCAAAGCCTGGAGAAGTTCGAATTAAGGTAAATATAAGTGAGACTTTTAGTAGGCATTTCTGCAGACATGTGTGTCTAGAATGATTTTATGATTTTAGGATGAATGGCATTTGATAGTTAGAATTCCTGTTATTTACACCAGGTTTATAATGCCATACATAAGGTTTGATCATTGTATTTTATTAAAATGTCACAAATAGAATATATAGAAACAATGAAATGTTAATAAATATTTTAAATACACTGTGGTTTTCAAAAATTTGAAAATCAACACAGGCTATTGTTGACCCATGACACTTTTTTTTTCAATAGTTAAAATGTTATTCGGATGTGTGGTTAGGTAGCTTTCTGGTGTGATTTTTTAGTGGCCAATATAATGGTGCAGGGAGGTGACCAGGCCATGTGGCCACTACCTTCATGATCTGATTAAATTTTTATCATAAGAGTACATTAGTGACCCTGGGACTGGGATCCTAAAGAGATTTAAATTCAGAATCTGCTCTTCTGTGTGCATAAATGCTACCACAGGGCAGGGAAGTCCCTGCCAGTCTCCAGATGTCCTGTTCCTGAACTTCCGTAGTTTATACATTACCCAGTCTGCAGTATTTTGTTTTGGAAGAAGAAACTGCACTGAGAGAATAACCCAGAAGACTGGTCTTCGTGGGAATAGCAGGAAGACTGAGCTCCCAAACCGCCCAGCTCTCCCCGGGCGTCTCTGCTGCAGACACAGCAGATCTACCCCTTAACAACAGGTCTCATTAGTAGAGAAGAAGCTCTCACCATGCAGGGCAGGATGAGAAGAGCTCTGTCTTCACCACGGGCTACAGGAGAATACCACTGACTAGGTGGTTTAAAACAAATGTATTTTTCACAATTGTGGAGAAATACACAAATGTATTTTTCACAATTGGAGAGTTGCCACCGTTACTAGACTTTGGTAAACGCTTTCTTCCTGGCTAACAGATGACAGGCTAACTGACCATTTGAACTGAAAACCACTTACAAGTTGGAAGAAAGAAAAAAAATTGCACTATGGCAGAGTCTTCAAGGAAAAACCCTTCCACTCTTCTGTTTGGACATGTCATGAACTACCGTGCTAGGATCAGGACATGCAAGTTACCATGAAAAGCCTTGCATTTCAGTCTCTCTGCATGGCGGGTAGAGGGTAATGCAGGGGAAGAAGCATCAGAGCGCTCTCTCCCAGGGGCTCCTTCCACTTGAGTGCATGTATTGAAATAGACCCCAGAGTTTGAATGGTCTGCTTTCTCACGTCCACTGATCACGTAACTCTTTTACGCAAGGAGCCAGAAAACAAGTCCCTGATGTTTCTGAAGTCTAAGGAAAATTATAAAGACAAAGACATATTTACTAAGTGCTTGCATTCTTTTTCTCAAACAGCTGTATGATAGGAACACAATTGATAGTACCTCAAATGAAAAACCCAAGAAAATGAAAAACCCAAGAGTACATTCTGCCTCTAGATTTTGCAGCATTGTATTTTTCTGATACATGCAATAATTTTGTAACAAAGTATTTTATATCCAGCCATTTTTTTTTTTTTTTTTTTTACTTTTTAGATTGTATCCTCTGGGCTCTGCGGTACTGATAAACACATCTTGGAAGGGAAAGACAAAGTGCCACTCCCTGCAATTTTGGGCCATGAGGGAACTGGCATCGTAGAGAGTATTGGAGAAGGTGTAACCACTGTCCAGCCAGGTAAGGAGATGAGGAAGACACGGTGTGGATGCCCTTGCTAATCCACTCTCTGATTTTCTCCAAAGGTATAATAGAGTTAGAAGAATTTTGACATAAACATTAAAATTCACTTGCATACCAGGTTTAGTGCAAAATATAGGCAGCCTAAGATTCCGAATTTTCCAAATTTGTGTTTGGCTTGAAAGGACTCAAAGAAAAAGAAGAATTTTTCTATAAAGTTTGCAAGTCTACTTATCAAAAAGTTGAACTAAGAATTGAATATATATATGGGTGTGTGTGTGTGTGTGTGTGTGTGTGTAATTATACTGTGAAAATATGTATGAGAGATTTTTTCCTGCACACACACATGCATCTGCACACAGATACTTGAAAGGATCTTTTAAAGTGATTGGAGCAGATGTCATTTATAACAATTTTCTCCAGAATTTGTGTTCACCATGTTTATACTTGAAATACTTTATGATGTATTACTCTAACATATATATTATATATATTTTATGCTCACCTTAAGCATCAGGAAAGAGAAGCTTGGACATAATTATGTTTTTCAGCTGATTTAGCCACTGAGTGGCAGAGCTGGAATTAAGGAGCTGCCGTGTCTAAATTCCTGTCCAATAATCAACAATTTCAAAATGAGTTTAAATTTTAGTGTTAACACTAGAATATTAATTCACTATTTCCACAAATATTAAGTATACTAAGTGTAAACTGCCTCTCCCTAAGATAATTATGCCTTAGGATGCTGATTAGGATGCTAATTATGCCTTATATCACAGACATTGATTAACACTCTTGACTTAACTTTATCTTTGAATTTGTTTTACTTCCAAAGTAAATCTCAAAATTCTCATATCTTTCATTCATTTGTATTAAAATTGATTTGTTTTCATTTCAAAGGGAAGTATTAATTAATGTCAAAACTAATGACAATTTTCATTAAAACACATTCATAATATCTACTGTAATTTCCTATGAGTAAACATATTTTTAATCTTGTTCTGTGACTCCATCCAAGCTGTTCACTGCTTGTTTGTTCTCTCTCCTCAGGAGATAAAGTCTTAATATTTCTTCTTCCTGAGTGTGGAGAATGTAGATTCTGCTTGCACCCCAAGGGGAACATGTGTGTTAAGGAGAAGTGAGTTTTGATTTGTTGGACTTCTCACCTGTGCACTTTTCAGTGTATCAGGCACTGACTTTGAGCTAAAACTCTTCTTTGTCACTCTGTGTGTCTGTGCAACAGTATCCTCTCACCAACTGGATTAATGTTAGATGGAACCAGCAGGTTTACATGCAGGGGAAGGAAGATTTACCATCTTTATGGCACCAGCACATTCACCGAATATACTGTAGTCCATGAAATTGCGGTGGGAAAAATCGATGCTGCTGCTCCTTTGGATAAGGTCTGCATCATGAGCTGTGCAGTGCCTACAGGCTTTGGAGTTGTGTTTAACACTGCCAGGGTGAGGATATACTTTGGAATTTTGCTCCATTACTCTAACTACACAGTGTCAAGTCCAGAGCCATGCAATCAGAGAGCTCTTTCCTACACTGTCAAAGCCAAATTTAGAATTTATTCTCTGAACTTTCAGGTCACCCCAGGTTCCACCTGTGTGATTTTTGGACTCGGAGGAATTGGCTCAGCAGTTGTCATGGGCTGCAAAGCCTCTGGTGCCTCCAGGATCATTGGGGTTGACATCATTGAAGACAAGTTTCCCTGGGCGAGAGCACTCGGAGTCACTGACTGTCTCAACCCACAGAACCTCAAGAGACCTGTCCAGGAGGTGGTGGTGGAAATGACAGGTGGTGGTGCTGACTTTGCCTTTGAAGCTGTTGGACTCACTGATACCATGGTGTGTGACCTTGGGGCACTAGGAGGGGTGCTGCCATGAACGTATGAATACTCATCACATCAGCTTTGTAAAGACATGAAATTAATTTAATATTGTTTTCTGTTTTGTTTCATTTGGGGGAGGTTGAGGGGTTTTCTTTTATGCTGGGAATTAAACTCAGGACCTGGCACGCATAAGCGCACATTTTACCATTGAGTTATACCTGTTTTTGATAAAATTACTGTCATTCATTTTAGTCTGAGCACATCTTATGTGTCTCATGGTGTGTTGATGCATTTTCATATTTTATTCCACTTAATATGTGTAGTGCTAGTTAAGTAATAATATTATCTATATCTTAAGTATTAAAAATCATAGTCACATTGAATTTAAGCAGTTCATTCAGGAACTCACTGCGAGCGTACTGCATACTTTTCAATTCTATGGTATTTCTACCATATTGTTATCCTGAAAATATGTTTTAGAACTGTGGCTATGATGGTGTCAGGATGAGAAGTTAATGTTCTGCTTGTGGAATTAGGTTGCAGCTTTTGAGTCATGCCACGTGAGCTACGGGGTGTGTGTGATTATCGGAGTAGCACCCTCTGCTGCAAAACTCTCTTTTGACCCACTGATGCTTCTTCCGGGTAGGACTCTGAAGGGGGCCACCTTGGGAGGTAGGTCCTGCTGCTCTCTTTTTCTTTTCTCAGAATTTCAGACACCCTGGCTGCTCCTTGGTAAGAAATGATGAGGGGGAAGGCAGGAAAAAATAATCCTCAGTGAAAGGAAATAAATGTCTATCAAAAACAGAAAAGCATGTGCTTACCTCCCAACATAGATATTCATTGCCCATAGCAGCAAAAGAACTTACGAGTTTAACATTCTTGATAAGCATTCAGGGAGTCACATTTTTTGATGCTTATCACATTCTGATACTCCCTAAGTCATGAAGAGCCGTGGTGTGTCTCTGGATGACTCCCTGGTACAAAAGAAGACTAGAAAAACTCTCACAGTATTGATCCATAAGTCTTCTAAAGGGAATTTTAAAAGTGGTAGATGGACATTATATTTAAGGATGGGAAAAGAAAGTTCAGCCCATTCTTTAACTAGAGAATGGTAAAGCTCAGGGAGCCTTGACATCCTCCATGCAGCTGCAACTTGTAAGAGAGACACAGCTCACACAGAAAGTACATTTTGTGTGCTGGTTTATCCACAACATTCTCACCTAACCTATCATTCTAATTTGCTCTGTAAGAATAAGATGGACAACGCTATACTGAATGTCATGCGTGTCTATATGTTTGGGGCTTATTTATCATGGTGGAGCTGGGAAGCCTTTAGAGAGAAGCTCAGCTCACTGGGGCCGTGCTTCAGCAGGGATTGTGCTGGGACCCAGGTCTGGTCTTCAACTGACTTTGCCTTCCGGGCCATAATATAAGTGGTTTTCTCCCCCAAATGCTTCCAGGGCAATATGTTGCCTTTAGAAGCCCTAATCACCACAGTCTCAGATTGGAACCTCCAGATACACTAGTCAAAATAAACCTTTTGCTGGGCATGGTGGTGCATGCCTGTAATCCTAGCACTTTGGAGGCTGAGGCAGGAGGATCGTGGGGAGTCTGAGATCAACCTGGGCTACAAAGTGAGCTCAAGGCCAACCTAAACTGCATATTGAGACTGTATCTCCAAAAAATTAAAAATTAAAAAAGAAACCCAAAACACTTTTTTTCTTTATTTATTAAGCAACATAAAATATTTGCAGTTAGGGCTCTGATAAAGAGTATCACTTGTCATTTTAAAGAGCTCCAACTTTTCTTTTATGCCCAATCTTAATTAGCATTTTGTTTATGGCCCTAAATGAAACATTAAATATTTGTAAAGAACTTTGTTAAGTATATAAAGATTTAGGCTCAACTTTACCACTTTCTAAGGTGTGCATTGGTGCCTTAAAATATAAATAGGGTCCACTTTAACTAAGGCTAGAAGATGACAGATAGATATACAACTGTTTTTAAAGAACATTTGCCTACAGGTCCCAAGAGCAGGGGCCATTTTTACCCATGCAAGTCCATACAGTGGTGCACCCAGGTCCATGAGGAGGCATAAAGAAGTGGAAATTAGGAGACAGAGCTTTATTATGGCTTTTATAGGAAAGGAACAGAGACAATAGCTTGAGTGGTTTTTTGAGGGTGACCCCTGGCTATCTGTTAAGTGGCTTTGAGCTGATTTAGGGGTAAGGATAGTGTCTCCACTGTCTGATAACAGGGGCACGGGGGAAAGTGGCAATATGGTTTTGATCTTGGTTGGTTTGTGAATCAAAAGTGTGTCCCTAGACAAGTTCTCTGATGTCTCCAAGAATTTGTTAACCTTGGGAGACAGTGTCTGTCTGTCCCCAGGATCTTGTAATGCAAAATTGGTATAAAATATAGAAATTAGAAAACATGATTAATATAATCAGCGAAAAATATTTGTATTCTCTAAATGTAAGTCTTCTCAAAGTTATAAAAACAGGAAAGATAATTCATATGTGCTTTAATCCTGGTGATCAAATAGTAGGATCCAAGACCTAGGCATGGTGACTCACTGCACTGCTTTTTGAGGTACATCTGCAGAGCAGATTTATCTCTGGGATTGAAATGTGAGGTTTGTGAGGCCGATGTGCATGGAGGCTTTAGTGGAGGGAGACAGGTAACTCAGGCCCATCAGCTGGAAGGTAAGATGTCACAGGGTGTGGCAGGGCCTGCAGGGAAGAGGAGATATGGGGCCATGCACTGTGACCAGAACAGCATGGGTCTGCTCCACAGTCCACAGGGCTCCCCTGGCTAGGGCTTTTCTAGGACATCTGGGCCACCCTACTAACTGAGCAGTTAGTGGATTGTCCTACGGAATAAATAACCTCATGTTTTATGCTTAGGAAATGGATCCAAAGTAAGCAACTATCTGCTAACAATGCCTTTATCAACCTTTTACATTAATAGTTCATTGGATTTTTTGGTCAGTTTTGGTAGTTTTTATGTCATTACCTTTTCCTTTCCTTCTGCAGAGTATAAAACAAGATCCTGTATTCCTAAACTGGTAACAGATTATATGCAAAGAAAATTTAACACGGATTCACTTATAACCCATCAGTTTCCTTTTGAAAAAATTAACAAGGCATTTGAACTGTTCTGCAGTGAACACTGGTAAGTACTGTGTGTGAGTCATGCATATGTATATGTGCCAGCGTGAGGTATCTCATATGTTCCACTTTGTCCAAAATTGTTTGAAAAATTTACTATTTGATATTTCAGACATTTCTATTCCGAAAACAGTCACTGAACTTTCTATCAAGATCTTGTGCTAGAGCCACAGAGAAAATGGAACTAAGTGTAATGGTGTCTTCAGGCAGTTGGTGCTCTGGAGGGAAAGACACAATATATAGTACATAAACAACTGAAGTATAGAGCTGAATATTATTCCTGGTCAGAGCATCCATGACTCAAGGATTAGGGCACAAAGACTTAGTTTCTTACTAAACAAAGTGAGACGAGTACTCAGAAAGTCACCACTGGGATGAGTCTTGGGGACCTGTAGACCCGTAACGTGAAGATTCTAGGTATAGATACTGGGACTAGTTACAAGAGCCAGGTGCAGCATGCAGGAGTCTGGGAGGCTAGGAGACACCCCACTGCCCTGGCATGGTGCCCTCACTTCAGGAGGAATGCAGCAGGTGATGGGAGACCAACTCAAAACCAGAGATCACTCTGCCTGAAATCAGGAACTCAAAAAAATAAATAAATAAAAGGAAGAAAGAAAGAAAGTAAAGCAAATCAGAGTTTTACTTATAATATTGCAAAAGCTGGGACTGCTGAAGAGCAAGTGAGCCAAACTGATCTTCTCAGCCTGGTGCCTTTGACTTGTTCATACTTACGATGGTAAGCTGAATCCTAAGACTAAATGCTTTGATGATTGGCATAATCTAGGCCAATCAGGGGGTTGGCTTTGTTTCTGGGGTGAGCTAGAGTTTGCAGGGTCTAGGGGCACATAGCACATGTATGCACAGGTCCCACAGAGGGCAACGTCGCTAAGTGCATCATACAGTGTAAGGATTGGTCATGTTTTCCCTGTCAGTCACCACGGTCATGCCTGGTACTGCCTACTCCCCTCTTCTATTCCCACAGGAGAAAGACTGAAATGTGCACATACTAAAAAGCAAACAGTACAGTTGGCAAGGGATAGATTTGTTTGTGTAGTCAATGTAAAGGTCTTGGCTGCAAAAATATTTTTCATGTAAATAAGTAAAAGCGCAAGAACTTCTGCTTCCAAAGAGAACTAAGATTCTCTATCTTGCCTTTCTTAAGCCTAACTATATGATATTGCTCTGAAATTCTACCTTAAAATGATGGATATAAATAGTGATAGTTTAGGTTGGAAATTTATAATGTCTATTGAGCAGACTGACTGAAATTAAGTCAGCAGCAAAGGATCTGAAAAGCACAAATGTTGGTTTATTTGGTGCTGAAGCCAGTTGCTGGATGTCATACTGACTCTACTGTTATGTATATGGAGATCAGAGAAAATGAGAGCAGTACAGGACCTATGACAAGGTGACCAAGTAGGCTGATAGAATTTTGAATCTGATTCCCCTTTAAAGAAATCTCAAGCTAAGGAATCTACTGCTATATCCAGGTGCTAATCAAATAATTACATTCTATTGGTCTCTGATAGTAAGAAAGTATCTATCACTAGTATCTATTCACTAGAAAAACAACAGACTATTCTTAACTTGCCAACAGTCCATTAGAAGGACATCTTCATAGGAAAAGATAAGCATGCTAAACATTTGGAAAAACTGGGATATGAGACTAAGTCAATATTACTTACGTACACATTAATGTCTGAGAAAAACTGAAATTCAGGTGACATCGATTTTCATGCATACTCAATTTAGCATTCACAAAGATATCTAAAAACTAAAGTCACCACAACTGTGGGAATAAATAAAAAGATGCATGTACTTTTTTTGAGAAATTGGGATAGTCATTGTTGACATGGAGAACATGATTTTATTAATAAGATGGCCACTTCAACAGAGTAAACACAAAAGAACATAAAAGCTGCTACTTCTGCCCTTCCCATGAACTGTGACTACCTGTTCAGTCACTGGTGAGCCCTTGCCACTGATTTTAAGCCGTTTTCTTCACCACTCTGAAACCTAATCCAGAGCTTCACCTTACAGCAAGGCAGTTTACCAGCTTGCTCAAGCTTCTTGCAGTTTACATTGCCAATGTGACTTCCCAGCCAACCTTCTCCTCTTTAATTTGTTAGAATTGCTTTGAGTATGAGGTACTGGTGAGAAACATTAGACTTAATTAACATTCTTTTAAACACTGGCAGTGTCTGTGTGGTAACAGGGCAAACCAGTACTCGGACCTCCATGAACTTTTCTGAGGAAAAAAACATAGACCAGGCCTCTGAAGCCATATAGAAACTCCTGGGCTACAAAAGCATGAATAGGCCAGAGTCCCACAAAAGGAAAGCACTCATAGAACCCTCTGTGCTTATGACCTTGAGAACATAGGTTTTTATAGGTTCTGAATAGATACAAGCTCTGGGGTTACATGGTATCATTTTCATTTATGGAAAAGATTAAGCCCCATGGCCTTGAGTTCCTGGTGCTGGGCTGGGGCTCCTGCTACCCTCCTCCCATCCCACCCCTCCCCAGGCCTCCCACCACTTAGAGACAAGAAGTGAGCTGAGCCTAGCTCCCAGGGGCTGACCTGAGGCCACCTCACCGCTGGTCATATTCAGCTTCTGTGACAATGGCTGCCAATGCCCAGAAGAATAAACCCTTGATGGATGGGTTTCCAAAAATCAAGATGACCTGCAAGGTTGGAACAAGACCATGGATGGAAAGCAGATATATCTTTTGTTGTTTTTTGACTGTAATAATGAGATCTGTATTGAACTGTATTGAGAGGGGGAAAGTAGTGGTGGAGGTGAAGACAACAGGGGAAGCTTGCAAAAGAGGATTCAGACTTAGCTTCAGGCAAAGAAGCCAGTTATGGACTCATCTGAAGAAATGGGGAAAGTCAAGTAACAGATGCATCCAGTTCTGCTAAAGTGTTTGACGAAGTTATGAAGATTTTTGATAAAGAAGGCCAAATCTGTACCTGAAAGCATCCTCAAAATCATGCTTGAATCGCTTTGATAGCTGCTATCCAACCTATTTTAAAGTCAGTTTCAATGTTTCAAAAGTACTTCTCAATTAATGGCTAGAAAATACTCAGTATGACATTAAATTTTTTATTTTTTTATTTGTTTGGTCACAGGAGTAGACAGTGAATTCAGGATAGACGATGAATTCATCTTAGTTATTATGGTGTGCATAAAACAAAGGTATCAATTCATTCTTTATTTTTATTTAAAAGACTATCCCTTTTATAGTTAGTGCTTCTGTGAGCAAAATTGTTTAGATACACATTATATCCCTGTAGAAGTTACAATGTGACAGGTGGGCATGGTGCCTACACAGGTAATCCCAGTACTTGGGAGGTCAAGGCAGGAGGGTTGCTGCAAGTTCAAGGCCAATTCTGGCTTCGTAATGAGTTCAAGTCCTGACTAACCTGTATAGTGAGATTGTTTAAAAAAACAAACAAAAATGTAATTAAAATATGTTAGGATTAGGAATTCCCACTATCTTTTCTTGCAGGTTTCAGATTCTAACTTGTTAGGTGAATTTTAAAGGAGCTTTCGTGTAGTCAGTTCTTACATAAAGTGTTTGGTAGACAAACTCCAAAAATTAGGGACTGCTGGCAGTGTTTTAATATTTTCATCAAATAACTATTTCCTATAGAAAGATAAAACTTAGAGCACTGCAGCTTGTGCACAGTTGTATGACAGATCATAGTCTTTGCTTACAATGTTTGTGTTGGGATCATGAGGGATTCAGAGCCTGACCAAACCGTCAGCTTTGTTGTGATGTAATTGGAGGGGGGCATGGGTCACAGCTGATGACTGGGTTCCTTTTGCTCTGTTACTCAGTGTTATTCATGATTAAACTGATCAACGCACTTCGTAGAAGAGGAACCCTGAAAGGAATGTGTTAGATTTATGTTGAAATGATTCAGTTCTCGTGCTGGTAACAATTCAGGTTATTGTTTTGTTTCTTAGGGTTAGGGTAAAATTACAAAAGGCAATCTAGTGGTTACAGTTGCAATTTGTATTTTACTTTCTGGAATAAGTTTTTCATAATTATTTGTTTAAGAACATTTGAAAATCTTTGTATTTTCATCAAAAATAATAAATGCATTTTATAATATTCAAAAAAGAAAAGAAACTTAAGACCTGAATAAGTATAGGCCGCTTTCGAAGATCACACAGCCACCGGCTGAGCAGATGCTCCTAGATGCTCACTGCTCCATCCTGTGTGTGCATCTTTCATGATATTTTCACATTCCATCATTTTACCTCTTGTGCTCAGCCCCTCAGTCTCATGAAGCCTCTTTCAGTCCTTCCCATCCTGCTCTTGGGATGAAGGAGGCATCTACGACCCTGAACCTTCACACCCAACATCCCTCATGCTGGGCCAGCCCAGCCATGCCCACCCAGGCAGACTCCATGGCTCTTTACTCCTACACACCCTCCAGCACCGGCATAGTGAGCTCTTCAAGCGCCTTGTATGCATGCCACCCATACTTTCCCCATGCTAACACGTAAGATGCTCTATTGTGATCACCTGACTAGTTATTTGAAAGAATTCTTTTTTTTATTTAAAGAGAAAAAAGAAAGGACATTTAAAAAAACAAAGCAGTAAAAGAGTACAAATAATACAGTATTTCAAGAAAAAATATACAGTAAGAAATCACCAGTTAATAGGTTACATATTATCTTCCTAGAAACAGTTATCCAAATTACAAAATTAAAGCATATAAAGTGGACATTCATACAGTGAAATTGGGGACAGTTCCATTCAATGATCCAACAAAAGCTCAGTAATATGGTTTTTCATCCTACACACTTGAACGTACCTGCGGTTATATCCCTTAGTTCATCTTGAAAGGCGAATTCTTGAATGTCACATTTTTAATTATAAACCTAGCAGCAAGTAAATGCCTCAAACATGGAAGCTGCTCAATAAAAAATTTTGTTTAAATAAATCAGTAAATAAGAACATTAATTAATGAACAAAATTCCCTAATGC